GTGACACACTGCTGGATAAAGCGATGTCGATTTTTGTCGAGGGTCATCAATGTGGCAGAAGATTCATTAGTATTACTCGATTGACTGACAAGTAATTCCAACAAATATATATCTTTATTATAAAATTACAAAGAACTCTCAAGAAAGGTTCTCAAAGAAGGGTCTGAGTACAAGAATTGCCATAACACTTACTTAGTTCACAATCACTCGGAAGACGTTGTATGTCGTGCAGTAAGAAATTAATCAATTATGGTCGATTGTTTCTTTCTATGCGACAGCCGACAACCGAATACGCATGCGTTCGACATTTGATGCCGACATATGACGTATTGTAGAAGATTTTAGCAACTTAAATTGTAGATGTAAGTAATGTACCAGCTTTCATATATGACGTACAACTTATTGCCGTGTCTCCAAGAGACGGCAATAAATCATCATATGCTAAAGCTTATACGTTACTTACGTCGCTAAGTAAGTGATACAATTCTTGTGCTCAGACCCTAACTTTCGGAAGACGAAGTGTCTAAGTAAGGAATAAATAAATTATGCTGATGGCGACCGTGAACGCTGAGTAGGGCCGCCATCGGCTCCGAGTTATTGGTGGGATAGCAGCCGCTATACCATATTTGTATTTATAGCAACTCTCTGATCAACATTGCGCATCTCAAAAGGAAAATCTTGTATTCTTATATAACACACGCACGCACGCACGCACGCACTAGAGCATGTTTCCGACATAAAAAAGAAATATATATAGTTCATCTATTATTTCAATGTATAAAGAAAGTCGACAATAATCACAGTTGTAACTACCCAGCAAACGAGAATGGATTAAAATGGATTGAAATTTTTTTCTATCTAAATGCGTATTTTAAATAGCAAATACTTTTTTTGAATTTAATTGGATTCAATTGGATTCAATTACATTCAATTGGATGCAATTAGATTAAAAAACTGCTTTTCCTATTCAAAATTTTGAACAGTATTATATATTCACAATGCACAGAAAAAACTAATATTATTTATTTTTAGATTGAAAGGCATAGAGATATGCTTCATACAATTCCTATATAAATGAATAAAAATGCATTCAGGATTGAAAAGCATTCATTTCAACATTTATGAATCAATATTTCTGAAAATCTGAATCCACTTCAACTCATTTCAATAAGAAAATATTCAGATTTTAGAAAATAAAAGTCATTACAACAAAGATTAATTTCTAAGATAGTGAACATAATCAAACAAAAAATGAATTCAATAAATAAAATCAAATTTTCACATCGAATGTCTCTCACAATAGATTTTTCTATCTTTATCATATTATTTCCTATTTAACTCTTTCCATATCTCCTTCATTTCTTCAGTAAAAAATCCTCTCTTTGTTTTCTTCGTTCCCAGCAAACGAGAATGGATTGAAATGGATTAAAATTGATTAAGATTTTTAGAAATACGGATTCATGAATGTTAAAATGAATTCTTTTCAATCCTGAATGAATTTTTATTCATTTATAGGAATAAAGCAAATGTCTATGCCTTTCAATCTAAAAATAATATTAGCATTTTCTGTGTGAATCGTGAATACTATTCAGAATTGTGAATAGGAAGTACAGTTTTTTAATTCACTTAAATTCAAAAATAATATCAGCAATTTCTGTGCACCGTGAATATTGCTCAATTCAATATTCTGAATATGAAATGCAATTTTTCAATTTAATTGAATTAAAAAAAAGATTTTATTAAAAAATGGACCATAAATGCTATTTAAATTATTCAAAATTATAAGTAGGAAATTTTTCATTTTAATCCAACTAAGTTCAAAAAAGTTGTAAAAATAATTGAGCTATGTTCTTTTGTTTCTCTTTGATTAAAAAATGAATGATCGATGTGAACACTCGCAAATCAAGTCGAACACAGCCCAAATATTAGATTAATCACAGCGCGCGACATCGGCCAAGCGAGACTAAATTATCCGATACTTGTCCAATGTTGTCTCATAGTAATGTAAATTATGTATTTATATTTATATTTATGTATTTATATAATTTTGTGTATTGATTTAATTGGTTGTAATTGAAGTAGAGAATGAATAACACATTTACTAATTGAAGGAATGGTGTAGCGGGTAACGTAGAAGATTCATAATCCAGAGAGAGGTCCCAGGTTCCACCAAGGTGCATTTTTTAATATCAATTCGAATAGTTAATTTCAGGTATAATTATTATAAATGTCTTAGGAATAAAATTTATAACCTTTAAATATGAATGTTTTTTTTTCGAATATTAAACTAGTGCCAGTTCAGATCTAATCCATTTCAATCCGTTAAATCTATTTTTATGGATTTAAAGTACGCATTAAAAAAATTTTAATTCTCGTTTGCTAAGTCTCTTATTTATTATGTTTGACGCTTTTTTGTCTTATTTTATTTGTTCATATTGGTCTGTTAACTTTCACCTCAGTTTACATCAAGATATTTAAAAATTATAATCACACTTATTTGAATTATAATCACACTTATAAGTCTAGAATTCTTTTTCAATTTATATGCATGCACACACGCACGCACGCACAAGTATATATCCAATAATCGAGGATTAAAATGAATTGAAATTTTTATACAGATTTTAAGTCCAATTGTTGAATCCAATTTAAAAACGTTTATGGTATTCAATCAGATTCTATTGGAATGAAAAACTACATTTTCAATTGAGTAGTTCTTAGGATGCACAAAAGAAGCCGATATTATTTTGAAATTATAGAAATGTGTTTCATACAATTCTTATAAATGAATAAAAATTTCGGATTGAAAAAGGCTTATTATAATGTTTATAAATGTATTTCTGAAAATCTAAATTCATTTTAATTCATTCTCATTTACTAAGTACATATAAATGTTCCGAATTATCTTATCTTACAGCTCACTATATATAACAAATTAATTACACAGACTAACAAAATGTAAGGAGACTAATGCTTTGATCTTTGAAAAATGTTTCCATAGGATTTTGATGTGTTGAAAACGATTACGTGCAATGTCCGTTTTTTTTCTATTATCCTCCATTTTTTAAATAATCGCAAAAATAGTTTTTTTCGGAAATAAATTTTTTATTAATTTTTTCCGCTAAACAAAAATGATATTGAGGTCTGTTTTGCAACATTTAACTCAGAAATATTTCAACAATACTAAAAATATTTTTTCGATGCTTATAAAAATATCTTATGCAAATTGCAAACAAAAACTTTGGAAAAATCGTAAAAAGTCGGAAAAAATTGATAAATTTTGAAATATCAAATCAAATAATTGAAAGAAAAAAATAATTGAAAGTAAAAAATATCTAATAATTTATAAATCAAAGTATGAAGATGTCTAAATAAAAGCCAACTAATTAGTCATGTATAATTAATTTATTCGTTATAAATTGTAGATATTTTGATTGCTAATTTGGATCCTTCTCAATACAAATATTCGATACTTAAGAAAAGTATTTGTCATATAAATAACTGATTATAATTTATAATTATATAAATGGATTAATGTTGATTTATTTGTTTTGTCTTTGTGTATCCAAGAGTTTGTTTATTTTAATTGCGAAATTAACTATTGATCAATTATAATTTTGTATTAAATTTTTATTCTCATAAAAAGAATAATGTCTCGTTAGTTCTAAACTTATATGACAAATGCTTGGAATAACTTGTGATAATCCTTATCAGATCACATGCTCATCATATAACAAAAACAATCCAACTCGAGTGCCAACGTTTTAAAAAATATCTCAGAAAGGGAAGCATCAATTTTTTATAAACAAATTTGAATATATTGGCTTAAGAGACTCTGTCCTTTTTTATATTAAGACCATTCTTTTGTTTTTTAATAAAAATCATTTCAAATATTATTCAGTCTTTTATGTAAATTTTTCCCTTTTTTCAAAATTTTTATATTCTCCCAGTCAAACTCATGGGAAAATTCTAATCTGTGCGCCGTGATAATGCTGTGTTGTATTCCAATTAATATAATTTTTATGTTCATTGATACGTGTCTTAAGGATTAAACTCTTCCCGTTTGCCCCATGTATGATGCGTCACAATTTTTACAATTTATTTTATATACTATATTATTATATTATGTGCTATAATAGGAAAATCGTCTTTCTGAATTTGAATGACTTTTTTCAATTAATTTATGCCCTTATATGTCTTATTATAATTGTTCTTTATTAAAAAAATTTTTTATCTTTTCAAAGATATTATGTAAAAGATACCGCAAAAAATCTCCGTCTTTTAACTTCATTATTATTATCTGAATTCTGTTTATTATTGTTACTGGAATTGTTATTAGAATTGTTGTTAAATTTTTTTCGTAATCTCTTGTTAATTATAGCTTAATAATAGTTATTACATATGACTTTTTGCTATATAATAATTTTTGAACAAATGATCGGAAGTTAGTTTTTCAAAAAAGGATTTAAATTAGAAATATACAACTAAGTTGTCAGATATTTTTTACGATTTTTTTTCAAATTAGTTGTTTTATATTTTAAAATTTGTCAATTTTTTCCAAGTTTTCCAAAGTTTTTTGTTTGCGATTTGCATAAAACATTTTTATAAGCATTGAAAAAATATTTTTAGTAAAAATATTGTTGAACATTTTTGGTTAAATGTCCTCGATATCATTTTTTGTTTAGCTGGAAAAAATTAATAAAGAATTTACTTCCGAAAAAAATTGTTTTTGCGATTATTTAAAAAATGGAGAGTAATGAAAAAAATAATGTAATGAGTAGAATCATTTTCAGTGCATCATAATCCTACGGAAACATCTTTCAAAGCACAAGACTCCACCTAAATTTTGTCGGCCTGTATTATTTAAGAATTTTGTTTACATCCATGAACTGTCGACTTTTCTTCGTACAATTAAGAATCTTGTCCATCAATTCCGAGCGATGTTTTTTCGACATTTATAGATATACAAGAGGATTAGGTGCATTTTATTTAATGTGGGATAAGTTTTTTAAAGGAATTTTTATTATTATTATTATTAAAGCATCAATTATATGTATTCAGAAGTAAGTTTTCACCCACTAAAGATAACTTAGTACGAATCGAAATGCTTGAAATATTTACATTGCATTTGAATTTGTCAATACATTAATTTTAATTGTACACTGATATCAACTTAGCTTATTGCTCTGTTTATGCACTCTGAAATTTTTAATTCTCTAAGCCTTTGATTTTATTTTTAATCATTAATTACTTGAATACTGTATAGTGAATTTAGTTCGACACTCTAGTATTGATTATTTAAACCATCATACGCCAATTGATGTAAAGATGTATTTAGTATAAATAGAATCGAGTTAAGCGCGAAATAAATTTTTGAACTACTTTTAAACTTTTAATCAATATACATTTATGCTGTTAAGTAGCATATGTATTTTATAATACGAAATATTTGTATTTCATTATTATATTAAAATTAAAATGTATAACAGATTTAATATGCACCAATGCGCATTAGTGCCTTCGAGCAAATTAACAGTTTTTTCTTTGATTATTTCTTTCTTTGATTATTTTTCTGAAAAAAGTGGTCAAAAAGTTTGTAGCGAAAAGAACATGAGGCAGCATTTTCCTCGTTAAAATGTCTGATGGGGAAATTAAGCAAGGCTCATTTTTTGTAATAATGTTAAGAATTTGCGAAAATTTTGGTTTCGCTCCTTTTTATTTTATGCCCACTCCTTATAGTTCAGTATGATGGGATGGGAATCTCTTTAGTACTGCGTAATACAAATTATAAAAAGCATAGGAGCTAACAATTAGGATTCCCATAAGAGCCAATCCAAAAATCCAGGACAAGAGATTGCCATCTATCATATTAGAAGCTTCTTTTCTTTTCCGAGCACTGATTTCTCCCAATGTAGTGCCCTTTCGTTCTATCATGAGTTTCTTCATATTGGCGAGCTTCTCCCGTAATTCATCTACAGATTCAGCAATCTCCTCGATCGATTCTCCCACAGGTAAATCTGCAATTTATGTAAGTACGATATCATATGAGAACAAGGCATTCTTGATTAAGTAAATAAACAGGACATACAACTTGCATACTTTGAAAAACTTGTAAACAAGTCGTATGAAAAACTTTTATATACAAAAGTTGCATGACTTCCTCAGTCTTATTGTTCGTAACCAAGCGTGATGACTTTTCTCATATGTCTGTGGTATGCTGATTGTACACAGTCATACATAAGGGACCTACAGTTTAACGTTGATTCCGAACGACGATTTTATTTAGAGAAATGTACTGACAAAGATATTCTCGGTGATTTGCCATTGCCCCGAGAGAAACTATGAGCATAATGAAAATTTTTCGATTCTGCTTGGGATCGAACCCGAGATCTCTGGCATAGCAGTATCAGACGCTACACCACGCTCGCGCTCATAGTGCACGACTTACATAATTTTTTTTATAAGAAGAAGCATTAAAAAGATTTTTATGTAAATCTCATTAAAAAAAATGGAATTATATGAATTTTTTTAGATAATATAATTTTGGCTAAGATAATTTCTGTAATTAATTTGCACATAAAAATATTATGATAAAAGTATCGAAAAATCATTTACGAGATATTTTAAACTTTATTCCATTACATATTGACATTAAATATTTCGTATAAAATAATAAGATAAATCAATTAGTTTAAATAAAACACATAAATATTTATTTAAAAAATGATCTATTTTGCCCTCATATTTTTTAAAGCAATTATGTATTTTTTTTTTATACCAATTGATTCATCTTATTATTTTGTTTATAAAAGTATTAAGATACAATTATAAAAAAATTAATAGTTTACGAAATGTTATATGCTATAATGTATACGAAATTTTATGTCAATATGTGCCAGAATAAAGTATAAATTATCTCGTAAACTATTGATTTTTAGATACTTTTATTTTAATATTTATTTTTATATGCAGAAAAAAGAAAGAGGAATCATATAATGTAAAAAAATTCATATAATTTCATTTTAAAAAATGAGATTGACCTTGAAATTTTTTTAATTCGCTTCTACTTATAAAAAATATTTATGCACTATGTAATGACCCTCTTGAAGTAACTTTTGTATAACAATTTTTCATACAATTTATATAGTTTACAAGTTTTTCGAAGTATGTTACACGCCTTATACTCTGTATGTATACAGAATATTTGAGACTATTTTCATGTAAATAGAGTGGAGGAAAACTAAATCAAAAAGTCTTGTATAACTTTTCATTTTTCGCAATATTTTTAACAATTATTAATTATTGAAAATCGAATTATAAATGTTCCATGCGTAGCACTCTCGATCGGCGGCTACATCTCGCCGTGCGCTTGCATTCGGCGATAGGCTAATGATGAATTTAATTAATTGATAATTCATTTTAATTGATAATTAATTGATAATTATTGCGACAATTGAAAAATTGTAGACAACTCTTTTTGACTCTATCTGCATATGAAAACAGAATAAGACTTCCGTATACTACTCTCTAAATCTGAATCAATGGATAATCATTGATATCGATGTCATAAGTATGTCACTAATCAGTGAATGAAATCAGTGAATGAAATGTGAGATCCTTAATTTAGCTGATCTTTATTATGTGTTTTAACTAACCTTGTTTTAGCATAAATTCAATGAATATAATATCGGAAAATTGAAATTAATATGCATATATCAGTATTTTAGTTCTATAATGTACCATACAAAATTTTTCCTTTTTTAGTTAAATTTTACTGATTATGTCATGAGTGTCAAATAAGCTACTGAGTAAGTGACTATTCATCAAGCTACTGAGTTAATGACTATTCATTGATTTAGAGAGTACTCAAATTCGATGAAATTTTACATATGAAGGATATTCTGGGAGACTATGTGTAAATATATTGATAAAATTTTTTTTTCATAATTTTTCATAAAATTTTTCATAATTTATCAACATCAACAATTTATAAATAATTACAAATGAAATTATGAGAAATTTTTTAGATTTTTAAATATTTTCTGGTAATATTTTCCCAACAACAATAAGAAATATTAGAAGGATGTTAAAAAAGTTCGATTTTTGACCCCCTTCCTCCTCGCGAAATCTTCCTTCTCCTTTGTCCATAATCTTCTAAAAGGATTACTTCTATCATATGCCTGTGGTGCGCACGCTGATTGTACACAGTCATGAAATTATTTATGTGACTTTAATCGAGCAAACATTTTGGATCGGCCATTTTGAATTCGTCATCATTGATGTTTCCATTTAATTAATAGATTTGTAGTCAATTTGATTACACGCTCAGATTCATTTTTTTTTTTAAATTCGATTACTGCAATCCTACGTGTAAAACTGAATGTTGAGAGCGCCATTTTAGATTTCCTATTTCCATAATTTGCCATGTTTAATAATCATTATAAGCGACCTTTAAAATCTCTAAGTATCTATTATCATAAAAAATTTTTGCAATATATCAAACTCATGATAAGTTCTAGCGCAGTATTGTATATGAAAATTGCAAAAAGAGACACATATAACATAAAAAAAATGTATTTTCTCCGAATTTCTGGGATATAAAATTATTTTTACTATTTTTTTCATGTGAATCTCAAATAACAATTTTGTGATTAATTAAGATTCCGCAGAGGGATTCCAAAAATCGGACTTTTTTAACATCTTCCTTTGATTTAGTATCCACAAATAATCAAACATATTGAAAACATAAAAAAATCGATTGATCTGATTGATAACAATAATAAATTAATAGAATTTATCATTTATAAAGATAAATTCAAATGAACCGACATTAAATCAGCAATATTTTATGCTAAACACAAATATTGCTTTTTACATCGCAGATCACTTAATTCCACTATTGAAGGATATTTGTATAGATCCTAAAGTTGTACAAGATTTTGCGTTAAGCCGACTAAAATATACAAATATAGTATATATGTAAAATATAAAAAGTATATTACAATTTTCAAAAATTTTTTAACGCATGAGCGACTAATGAATTCCTGTTTACTAGTACTGCGTACGTTATTGAAGCTACATTCGACGCGCATGCGCCAAAAATTCGGCTCGTCTAATAATCCCGGAAGCGTGGAAGAATTACATGTGTTCAGTTTGCAAGCGTCTCTCTTTAATTTTCTGCTTTCTCGCTTGTTGGCTAAACTGGGATCTGTTCGGTCTAGCCAACCTTAATTATTGTCTTTATCGCACTCACATAGATTCTCTTTTTATCATGTACTACTTAGTATTACCAATGTTTGTTCGCATCGCATGCTCCTACAACTCCTACTTACTTGGAGTGCTTAATAGGGGCTATAATGGAAATTGAAACACATTTCAGAAATATATGTTCAAAATATCTATATATTTTTTTAGAATTTTTCATAAATATTAATTTTGAAATATTGTAAAGTATAAAAAAATTTGAGATATTTTCTAAACAGTTATAAAATGATACAGAAATTCTAAAAATTCAGAATTTTTTATATGTGAATTCTAAAATATTGTAAAATTCGTATAATTTTCTATAATTGTATACATATATAGAAACATATTTTATATTGTAATTATATTATAATGTTCATATATAGGTGTCCAGAAAATCACCCGCAATACTTCAGAAGGTGAAGATATCCAAAAAGAAGAAAAAAAAGCTATATAAACATAGAAAATAAATCGTTTCCCGTATAAGTTATAACCACTTTTATATTAAAAAAAAATGTAATTTATTTTTCATAATCATAATTTATTTTACAGTATTTTATAAATAATTACATTTCGTACTATTTTGGCCAGGTTGCACCACGTGGAGGCATAGCTCTTTTGGCATTCCTCTAGTAAAGTAAAAAAGTTTTATAATAAAAAAATAAAAAAAGAAAGATTTTAATATTCCTTTCGTCTTATAGACGCCAATTCCATTGATATCGGTGCTGTCTTAACACAAACTATTGATGGCGTGGAAAATATTATTGCGTTCGTGAGTCGTGTGCTTTCTCATCCGAAAAAGAAATGTTCTGTTACTGAACAAGAGTTTAGCAACTGTTTGAGTGATACAGAAATTTCGACCATAATTTAGAGGGGTTAAGTTCACTGTAGTGACTAACCATAGTAGTTTAGGTTGACTCCACTATTTGAAAAATCTGACTGATCAATTAGCACGTTGGGCATTAGAATTATTAGAGTACGATTACGAAATCGTGCATCGAAAAGATATTGTACTATATGCCAAATGCGTTATCGCGCACATTTGAAAATGACATCAGTGATGGAGGAGACCCTAGGTATTATTTCTTTAGCAGTTGCTGTGGATGCAGAAATTCTTAATAATACAGAAGATCTTTGGTACAGTAAACGCTTTCGCGAGGTTTCGGAGAAGGCTAAATTGTTTAGCCAATTGGATAGTAGATGCTCAGAGAACATTGAGACATTATATAAGAATAAAAAACGTCTTAAAATTCATTTTTGAACGTATTCCACATTTTTGGAAGTATTCGAATAACGTCTTTAAGATGTCTTATGCGTCAATTTATGGCATCCTTAAAGACATTATCCTTAAGATATTTTACAAACTTGTCCCTTATGTTTTATAGAATTAATTTTATGATGTCTTATAAATATTGTAATTCCTTATGATGTCTTACAGATATTATTAAGACTTGTTTCAAACATTTGTCTAAAAAATAAAAATAAAAATTACTGATATGAAAACGTACTGATAAGAGGAAGTCTACGAAGCAGAAATTGAAATTACTTGATAAATCGTTATATGAATTAATGATATCATACATAATACATATTTTCAATGACGATCTATAATTGTGACAGATAATAGATTGTTATTGAAAATATATATTAAATATTATATCATTCATATACCGATTTATTAGATAATTCTAATTGCTGCTTCGTATTCTTCGTCTTATCAACGCGTTTCCGAACAGCTTTATACAATTATGTAGTTATAGAATATATTCGTATT